ATACAAAAAAAATAGGTGATTGTGTTATGTATGATTTTTTTTAAAATACGGACATACATTTTATATATATATATATATATATATATATTATATATATATATATATATATATATATATATATTATATATTATATTATATACATACATATATATATAATATATATATATATATATATATATATACATATATATATATTTATATATATATATATATATTTTACCTGGAGTTTACCTGGAGAGGAGTTCCGGGGGTCAACGCCCCCGCGGCCCGGTCTGTGACCAGGCCTCCTGGTGGATCAGAGCCTGATCAACCAGGCTGTTGCTGCTGGCTGCACGCAAACCAACGTACGAGCCACAGCCGGCTGGTCAGGAAACCGACTTTAGGTGCTTGTCCAGTGCCAGCTTGAAGACTGCAGGGGTCTGTTGGTAATCCCCCTTATGTATGCTGGGAGGCAGTTGAACAGTCTCGGGCCCCTGACACTTATTGTATGGTCTCTTAACGTGCTAGTGACATTCCTGCTTTTCATTGGGGGGATGTTGCATCGTCTGCCAAGTCTTTTGCTTTCGTAGTGAGTGATTTTTCGTGTGCAAGTTCGGTACTAGTCCCTCTAGGATTTTCCAGGGTGTATATAATCATGTATCTCTCCCGCCTGCGTTCCAGGGAATACAGTTTAGGAACCTCAAGCACTCCCAGTAATTGAGGTGTTTTATCTCCGTTATGCGCGCCGTGAAGGTTCTCTGTACATTTTCTAGGTCAGCAATTTCACCTGCCTTGAAAGGTGCTGTTAGAGAGTGCAGCAATATTCCAGCCTAGATAGAACAAGTGACCTGAAGAGTGTCATCATGGGTTTGGCATCCCTAGTTTTGAAGGTTTCTCATTATCCATCCTGTCATTTTTCTAGCAGATGCGATTGATACAATGTTATGGTCCTTGAAGGTGAGATCCTCCGACATGATCACTCCCAGGTCTTTGACGTTGGTGTTTCGCTCTATTTTTTTGGGGCCCGAATTTGTTTTGTACTCTGATGAAGATTTAATTTCCTCGTGTTTACCGTATCTGAGTAATTGAAATTTCTCATCGTTTTAACTTCATATTGTTTTCTGCAGCCCACTGAAGATTCGGTTTGATGTCCGCCTGGAGCCTTGCAGTGTCTGCAATGGAAGACACTGTCATGCGGATTCGGGTGTCTCTGCAAAGGAAGACACGGTGCTGTGGCTGAATCCTTGTCTATGTCGAAAAGAGTAGGAAAAAGAGGAGCGAGTACTGTGCTTGTGGAACAGAGCTTTTCACCGTAGCTGCCTCGGACTTTACTCTGTGACGACTACTCTCTGTGTTTCTGTTAGTGAGGAAATTATAGATCCATCGACCGACTTTTCTGTTTTTCCCTTTAGCACGCATTTTGTGCGTAATTACGCCATGGTCACACTTGTCGAAGGCTTTTGCAAAGTCTGTGTATATTACATCTGCATTCTTTTTATCTTCTAGGGGAATTTAGGACCTTGTGTAGTGATCCAATATTTTGAGACAGACAGGAGCGCCCTGTTCTAAAACCCATGTTCCCCTGGGTTGTGAAACTGATGGGTTTCTAGAGGGTTGGTGATCTTGCTTCTTAGGACCCTTTCAAAGATTTTTATGATATGGGATGTTAGTGCTATCGGTCTGTAGTTCTTTGCTGTTGTTTTTACTGCCCCCTTTGTGGAGGGGGGCTATGTCTGTTTGTTTTTTAGTAACTGTGGGACGACCCCGTGTCCATGCTCCCCTCTCCATAGGATGGAAAAGGCTCGTGATAGGGGCTTCTTGCAGTTCTTGATGAACACGGAGTTCCATGAGTCTGGCCCTGGGGCAGATGCATGGGCATGTCATTTATCGCCTTTTTCGAAGTATTTGACGTCAGAATAACTCGGATGGGCTTATGTTAACCAAAATTTTGGGGTCTCTCATAAAAAATCATTTTGATCTTCGACTCTCAGTCGGGTTTTAGCGGTTTGCTAAAAACTGAGTCATATTGGGACTTGAGTAGCTCACTCATTTCCTTGCTGTCATCTGTGTGGACCCATCTTGTTTAAGTAGGGGCCCAATACTGGACGTTGTTCTCGACTTTGATTTGGCATAGGAGAAGAAATACTTTGGGTTTCTTTCGATTCTTTTTATGGTTTTTTAGTTCTTCCCGCGATTCCCTGACTCCTATAAGATTCCTTTAGTTTTAAGTTCGATGCTTGCTATTTCTCTGACCAGTGTCTCCCTACGCATTTCAGATATATTGACCTTTTTAGCCGCTCTGTTTTCTTTTCCGTCGCCTGTAAGGGAGCGCCTGTCTCTTTCTATTTTACATCTACTCCTCCTTTTTCTTAGGGAATAACCCTTGTGCATACATCGAGTGCAAACCAAGTTAATCTGTTTAGGCTAAGTTGGGGTCTGTGTTGCTTAGTATATCTTCCCAGCTTATATCGGTTAGGACTTGGTTTACTTGGTCCCACTTTATGCTTTTGTTATTGAATTTGAATTTGGTGAATGCTCCCTCGTGACTTCTCATTATGTCGGTCTGGGGCTCCACGCAACATGTCTGAACCTCAATTATGTTGTGATCTGAGTAAAATTGTTTTTGATATGGTGGACATTTCTTATCAGATCTCATTGTTAGTGAAGATGAGGTTAGTGTATTCTCCGTCTAGTAGGCTCTATTATTTGCTGGTTTAAATTGAATTTTGTGCAGAGTTTTAAAAAAGCTCGTGTGAGTGTGAGTTTTCATCAGAGCTGCCTCCTGGTTTTATTACTGCAACAATATTATTTTGCTATTTTTCCTCCATTTTAGGTGCCTTAAGTTGAAATCCCCCAGGAGCAAGATGTTGGGTGCAGGAGCTGGGAAGATTTTCGGACAGTGGTCAATTTTTAGCAGCTGTTCCTGGAATTGCGGGGAAATGTTGCATCGGAGGCTTGTAGACTACCACAATGACTGGGTTTTTTGGTTCTCGACCTTTACTGCTAAAACTTCCACTACATCATTTGAGGCATTAGCAGTTCTGTGCAAACAAGTGACTCTGCAATGTACAGGCCAACCCCCCCCCCTTTGCCTCTGCAAGTAGTCCACGGATGAAAGGTATTTTGTTGTTTGTTGCTGGCTTTAAAACCCTGTTATTTCCCAAAGAAGAATGTCATCGAACTGGTGGTATTGTTGGTACTGGGGGGGGATTTTTTTTTCCGGCATTAGTATCTGTATCTGTTGGTTTGGAGTGGAGGCCATCGACTGTGGTTTTCCACCCCAGGAATGACTGGATTTGGTGTACGATTTCTGCCATTTCTGCTAGTTTTTTTTCCTTCCTGGCACTAAAAAACCTCTCCTCTTGAGTGGCTGTGGCTACCCAGGTTTTCCCATGGCCTGGATGTTTTGTATCTTTTTGTACCCTTTAGATGGTTTTGCCTGGCAATTTAAGTTATAGCCCCAGTCTTTCCTGTATGAAGAGGTACACATTTCAGGGTGAAAAAGCTTACAGGAAGGGAGTTTGCATTTTCCTGTTGTCATATGGGCATGGCATTTTCTAGGGTGGTCCATAGTTGCACCTTTCCCGTCTGTTTTTCCAGATTTCCCATGTCTGCAGATTAAACCCAAATGCATAGTATGTGCACAGGCTTGGTTTCCGTTTGCCTTGGGTTTCTGTGACTGTATTCCCTGTTGGTGCATGTTTCCCTGTCTTATTCCTATCCTCACTAGCACCAACAATGGAGCTCCCACCAGTTGTTTTTGGTAATATATCCTCACTATTGCTAGTGGAGTCCTCTTGTTTGCTATTTCCTGTGGTATTTCTAGTTTGCAATATTGGTTTTATCTTATCTTTGACTACACTTGTTTCCCCTCTACGGCTCCTGTCTCCCATGAGGTCATTTATATGTATTCCTTCCTGCGTATAATTCCCGACTATATATATGTCGTGCCGAATAGGCAGAACTTGCGATCTTGGCTTAAATAGCAACGCTCATCTTGCCATATAGGACAAGCGAAAATTTGTGTATGCAATAATTTCGCCAAAATCATTCTGAACCTAACGAAAAAAATATATTTCACTGTGTTTGTTTAGTATTAAATTGTAAACAAATTTTATATATATATATATATATATATATATTTTATATATATATATATATATATATATATATATATATATATATATATATAAGAGAGAGAGAAGAGAGAGAGAGGGGAGAGGGTACATAAAAAATACCATTGAATAGGTAATAAAACCCGAGCGCTTTCATGTGCTACACATATCTTTAGAGGAAGATATGTAAGCACATGAGAGCGCTCAGGTTTTATTTCCTGTTTTCATTGTTTTTTTCATATTTGCAATCACACGTTTTATTGTGATTTCTTCCATATAGCAAGATATTACTACCGAATAATTGTTTCCACTGAAAGTGCACGATTATCAGTCAACACTACTGACCAGGTTGTTAGTGATGGCAGCGGCCATCGTGTGACCTCGTACCCGAATCTAATATAGCCGAGGACAAAGCTGTATTTAAGGTGTGTTATGCTAGGCTGCGTTTTTTCTTCCGTACCGAGTGTTATAACAGCGCCGGCCGCTAGAGATGCCACGCTGAGACTCAGTCGAAATGCTTTATTAAAAAAAAATTCCAATCTTTGCTAAATATACTCCACATTTGTTACATCTTCATACATCTCCGTTATGTATTACTGATGAAAACAGATTTTGAGTTTTTGGAGACGGAAATACCATGTCTATGCCCTAAAAGAGGAGCGGGGATGTAGCACTTCAGAGAGATTTAAATTTTGGTGTCTATAGACTCCTGGCAAGACAACTATTGAATGAACGATGATTAATGTGTTTCCTTCTTTGGGTCGCTTTACCTTATTGGGAAACTGCGATGTGATAAAATGACAAAAATAAAACTAAATTATTCAACCAAATGTATGAAAAAGAAATATTCACTTGAAACAAATATTGCAGTAAGTCATGTTCTGGCGTGAAAAAAAAAGGTAGGCGGTGAGAGAGGAGGATTGTATGCCACAGGGCAGTGAGGTGCCAGCCACAGTGCCAGCCACAGTGCCAGCCACAGTGCCAGCCACAGCGCCAGCCACAGTGCCAGCATGTTGTCTTTTGCTACTGTCGCAGTCTGCCTCCTCCTCACAGGTAAGAACGTAATAATAATTATATCTATTTTATTTTTAAAACAGTTTTACCCTAGGAAATACGATACTTGCCGCAATTAATATGAAGCGTTGGAGACACGGTCTTTCTTCTGCTAATGGCAAGAAAAATACGCTACCAAACTTTACTCACCTAGGAATTGATTCCCTGATCTCCCTGGCAGAAGTCGCTCATGTAAGAAACAGTGAAGGAAGAGTTAGGATAAGATTCAAAACGAGTCAAGCAGAAACTGTCCAGTAAACTCGCCGAGGGGCGAGTTTACTGGACAGCGATACGTAGCCTCTGATTAAACATACGGACGTAGTGAGAGTCGTTGCATTACATCCCAAAGAGGTGACGCCGTTATTGATATTAATTTCATCCTTAGCCACTTCACTTTGTAGATATTGTTACCTTCATAAATTACCATTATTTAAACTAATAGATCCAGATGATTGTCATCTATCATAATCAGATAAGGTCAATGTTAGAGCAAAACTTGGTTAGATTTAGATTACCGATGGAAATATAAACAGTATCTTCCAAAATAGCAAAGTTCCTATATTTAATAAGAGAAGTGTGTGTAAATATGCGTTTCCAGTGTTTAACAGAAGTGTGAGAAATTTCAAGTTTTTCAAAAAAATATAAAGATATATGTCAAGCATGAGCTGCAGTAACAGGAAAGATAAATAACATAAATTTCATAATGAAACATTTATTATGGCCACCACTGAAATAAGAGACAAACTAAATCAAGATATTTGAATGTTTCCCATTATATAATTATGAAAAAAATAATTTCCTGATTGCTATACAAACAGTATTTTATTTTGCATGAATTCAATATACAAAAAACGGGTAAAAACACTATCATAAAACAAATTAAGATGGAATGCTAACAGGCTGATACTGTAGTTGTGTGTTTATCAAAAACAACAAAAAGCCAATAAAATTTATTCATGAACTCTCCTAATTAATTAAAAGAAAAAATGCTTAACAAATTTAAGTTTTATTTACTTTTGACATTAATTCTAAGACATAAGCTGTTTCAGTATTTTTTGACAATAAAATGTGTGGAATGTGAGCAGCAGGTGGGAGCAGTGAGGCGGTCCAGAAGCGGTGGGTGAGGACCTGGGACCTGGATTCTTTAGACAACTGGCAGGAGAGACGTCTTCCTTGTGCTGGCAAGGCTGCCTCCTGCCGCTACTTTAATACCTCGGTAATGTATTGCCCAATCATGTAATATTTAAACACTTCAGTAATGTCTTATACGATGTTGTAATAAAATTTCAGTAAAAAACTCAAACATTTAAAAACGACGCATAAATATTTCTTCAGCATATTGATTTCAGTGCACATTAAAGTCCTTTAAATATCGTTATTAATTTTGCTTTAATCGACATTGCAGGTGTTCCTAGGGAACATTTTGACACTTGGGTCACTGGAGCTGCCTCTTGAGGGTGAACTCATCTTTGGAGAGGGAGCCAACATGGTGTTCGATCACACGTACGGGACACTGTAAAGGCATTTTGCGTTTTGTACGTCAAAAATATATAAAAGTCTATAGAGAGTAATACGAAATTTTACATTTTCAATAACACATAATATTCGGAATGTGTCCAAAGACAGAGCCGTAAATACACACAGGTAAATTATGCAAACGAAACCACGCTACGAAAATGAAACAGATGAATACTGGACATTTCGGTTTATCACTGAGGCCGTCTTTAGCAGATAAACTTAAATGGTAGGCCAAAGTATGCAGTAAACATTTTGTATTTTATTTTTCATATATTATTACAGTATCACTAATTATCAGAGTTGGTATCCAAGTTCCTATATTTCATATTACAACATTTTGGATGTTTTAAAAGTTAGAACATGTTAATAGGCTCATATAATTTATTATGAATAGTGTACAAACACTCGAACATAATACGACAATAGATACCCTTCAAGCCTGGACAGATGGGAAGCAGGTGGTGTGGGACTATACATGTGCATCTACCTTGGCTGATACCTATCTCCAATACACCAGGGAGGAAGGAGGGGCAGCTGCCAGCTTTAGGGAGTCCCAAAAGTCTAGAAAATATGGAGAACTTGCCCATCATTATATGTTTGTTCCCATAGGCTCAGAGACCCTTGGCTCATGGGGAATGAGTGCATCTAAATTCCTTAAGGAGCTGGGAAAAAGACTCATCAGGGTAACTAGGGATCCCAGGGCAGCTAGTTTTCTGTTCCAGCGGCTCAGTGCGGCTGTTCAAAGGGGTAATGCCTGCTGTATTTTGGGCACACGCCCCAGCTCTGAGGAGCTGGATGAGATTTTCGCCTTATAATCGGTGATACACACGTAACAACAAGTACCGTATATGCCACCTTTATATCAACAATGTATCTCTTAAATCTTCTGTACCATATTATGTAATAAAATATTCCTATTGGTAAAAAAAAAATATTAAAAGATGGGGTGGTAGGGGAAGTGGAATATTCAAACGGCTTCAGGAAGAAATCCAAATATTCTTCCTTGAAGCCTTTTTATCCACTTCTCCGAGGCTATGGGTCCCAAAGTTTACACCAGAGGTGGACCCCATCCTATATAAAAAAAAAATTATGAATTAAATAGGAGTACTAAATTTTACTCAAAACCGCAGAAGATGCCAGATGGACGCACCGTGGTAGGGACCAGTGGTGGGATCCAGATGCTTGGTCGTACCCAGGCTTCGACGACCCAGACACATCACCTGTACCTCACATCAACCGCATCCCTTGTACCACTGACGGTGCTGTCTTCACTGACACCAGCGGCTCGCTGTACAGGGTCCACCTCTCCCCGCCAGTCATCTCTCTCACCAGCCTCTCCATTGGCAATAAGGCATATATCCTTATTTAATATAATGCAATGTAACGTAAAAGAGTTAATGTATTAGTGTTAACTCTTTTTATGTTCTTTGAATGATGCCTCAATTATGTTGATGTGGTATAAATGTTATATCAATGTATGAGGTGAATGTTATGGAGGCAGATGATATGAAGCAATTACTAAACGTTGCGATGGTAGTTAAAGTATATTCAATGTGTTTGTGTGTGTGTGTGTGTGTGTGTGTGTGTGTGAGTGTGTGTGTGTGTGTGTGTGTGTGTGTGTGTGTGTGTGTGTGTGTGTGTATGTGTGTGTGTGTGTGTGTGTGTGTGTGTGTGTGTGTTGTGTGTGTGTGTGTGTGTGTGTGTGTGTGTGTGTGTGTGTGTACTCATCAATATGGTTGCAGGGGGTCGATTCACAGCTCCTGGCTGTGTGTGTGTGTTTGTTTCTATGACCGACTTGGGTTATTAGGCATAAATGTCGCTGGTGTTGAGAGGGATATTATAATTAGAATTTTATATTAGAAATGCTTGTGTCTAGGTGTTAGTGAGAGGCTCTTGATCCAAGTAGCTGGACTTTTTCTCTCCTTGGATGAACAATGGCGTAAGCCCACAGGTAGGTAGAAAGATAATAATGTTTGCAGTGAAACCTTCATTAAGTGAAACCTTTATACCGTTTCGCCCATTCTAAACGAAACGTTACAAAAGATTCACTGAAAACATAAATATCTTTCATCCTTATCCTCCCCTTCTTTGGATCGAACTTCAATGCCTCCCATTACTTAGATGCGTTATGGCCCCTCCGGGTTTAACGCTTGCCCCTTAAAACAAATCAAAGTGATCCTAATAAAAGTTTCTATTTTGACAGAATTTCACCACCTCAGAGTTTGCAGCATACACCAGAAGCACCGAGGGAAAATATAGATTTATTGGGGTGTCCTCAATCAGGGACAATGCTCCCTTGTATGTGGAGAGTCCTGAGGTCTGTAGAGATGTAACAGGTTGTTCGTGTGGCACCGAGGCTGCTGCTTCCATCATCTGTAGTATCAAGTCCAAGAAGTGTGTACCACCTCGGTGTGACAGCCCAATACATATGACAGGGTTCTGCTGTCCAATGTGTGGTAAGAATACATACGTTGCCTTTTCAGTATAATGTATAAACATCTCTCAACAACTGTTAGAAGAAAAGTTGGCTTGAGTTAGAGAAGGTGGGAGGATATCGAAAAAGTGTAATGTGTGATACCTGGAGGTTACCTGGAGGTTATTCCGGGGATCAACGCCACCGCGGCCCGGTCCATGACCAGGCCTCCCGATGGATCAGGGCCTGATCAACTAGGCTGTTACTGCTGGCCGCACGCAGTCCAACGTACGAGCCACAGCCCGGCTGATCCGGCACTGACTTTAGGTATCTGTCCAGCTCTCTCTTGAAGGCAGCCAGGGGTTTATTGGCAATTCCCCTAATGCTTGATGGGAGGCTGTTGAACAGTTTTGGGCCCCGGACACTTATGGTGTTTTCCCTTAGTGTACCAATGGCGCCCCTACTTTTATTGGGGGCATTTTGCATCGCCTGCCCAGTCTTTTTTCTTTCGTAGGGGGCGGGTTTCTGTGTGCAGATTTGGGACCATTCCTTCCAAAATTTTTTCCAAGTGTAGATTATGATATATCTCTCCCTCCTGCGTTCCAACGAGTACAAGTCAAGTGCTTCCAAGCGTTTTCCCCGTAGTTAGGTGCTTGACAGAACTTATACGTGCAGTAAAGGATCTCTGTACACTCTCTAGATCTGCGATTTCACCTGCTTTGAATGGAGATGTTAATGTACAGCAGTATTCCAGCCTAGAGAGAACAAGTGATTTGAAAAGGATCATCATGGGGTTGGCATCTCTCGTTTTGAAAGTTCTCATTATCCATCCTATCATTTTCTTTGCACGTGCGATCGTGGCACTGTTGTGGGTCCTTGAAAATGAGATCCTCAGACATTACTACTCCAGGTCCCTTACATTATTTTTCCCCTTTATTGTATGGCCGGAGTCAGTAGTATACTCTGTTCTAGTTATTATCTCCTCCAGTTTTCCATAACGGAGTTGTTGGAATTTTGTCCCCATTGAAATCATATTGTTTACCGTTGCCCACTGGAAAACTTTGTTTATATCTTCTTGGAGGTTTAACCGCGTCCTCAGCAGTTTACAGCCTCATGCAGATCCTGTATCATCCGCCAAGGTTGATACGGTGCTGTGGTGTATATCTCTGTCTATGTCTGATATGATGAAAAGGGAATAAGATGGGGGCGAGTACTGTGCCTTGTGGAACAGAGCTCTTCACTATGGCAGCCTCCGATTTAACTCTGTTGACCACTACTCTTTGTGTTCGATTTGTTAGGAAGTTGAAGATCCATCTCCCCACTTTCCCAGTCATTCCTTTAGCACGCATTTTATGGGCATTACGCCATGATCGCATTTGTCAAATGCTTTTGCAAAGTCTGTGTATATTACATCTGCATTCTGATTTTCTTCCAGTGCATCCAAGGCCATGTCATAGTGATCCAGTAGTTTGTGAGAGGCAGGGCGACCTCCCCTGAACCCATGTTGCCCTGGATTGTGAGATTTTGGGAATCCAGGTGATTTGCAATCCTGCTTCTTAGAAACTCTTTCAAAGATTTTTATGATGTGGGACGTCAGAGCTATTGGTTATAGTTCTTAGTTTAATGCTTTGCTGCCACCTTTATGGAGTGGGGCTATTTCCGTTGTTTTAAGTGACTGTGGAATTTCACCCAATGTCCAAGCTCCTCCCCCATAGTGTACTTAGGGCACACGAGAGGGGTTTTTTGCAGTTCTTAATGAAAACAGAGTTCCACGAGTCTGGGCCCGGGCTGAGTGCATGGGGCATGTTGTCAATGGCTTTTTCGAAATCTATCGGAGTTAGGGAATGTCGGAAATTGGCTACATTTATGGAGTTTTGAGGCTCATTCATGAAGAAATCATTTGGTCGTCGATCCTCAGACCGATTAGTGGTTCACAAAAACACAGAGTCGTCTGGGATTTCAATATTTCACTCATTTCCTTGTTTTTCATCTGTGTAAGTCCCATCCTGTCGAGTAAGGGTCCGATACTAGATGTGGTATTTGCCTTGTTTTTGGCATATGAAAAGGGAAATATTTTGAATTTCTTTCAATTTCACTAATAGCTTTAAGCTCCTCCTGCCTCTCCTGGTTCCTGTAAGAGTCATTTATCTTAAGTTCGATAGTTTCCACTTCCCTGGTCAGCGCCTCCTTTCGTGTATCAGATATTCTAGCACTCCTGAGGAGCTCAGTGACTCTTCGTCGTCTTCTGTAGAGGGAGCGTCTTTTTCTCTCCAGTTTACTCCTGCTCTTCTTCTTTCTTAGGGGAATATGCCTAGAACATGCTTCGGCTACCAGGAAGTTGATCCTTTCAAGGCACTGGTTTGGATCCATGTCATTTAAGACATCTTCCCAACATGTTTCGTTTAGGACATGGTTTACCTGGTCCCAGTTGATGTTCTTGTTGTTGAATTTGTATTTTGTGAAGACACCTTCACAGGTACATGCATTCTGCTGATCAGGACCCATATGCATGTACGTCTGGACTTCGATTAGATTGTGATCGGAATTAGTTGTTTTTGATATTCTTATGTCTCTTATCAGGTCCTCATTATTTGTGAAGATAAGGTCAAGTGTGTTTTCTAGTCTTGTTGGCTCCACTAGCTGCTGGCTTAAGGTGTGTTTTTCGCAGAGACTTAGTAGCTCATGTGTGTGTGACCTTTCATCTGCGCTACCTCCGGGGATTGTTTCAGCTATAACATTATTTGCTACATTCTTCCATTTTGTATGCCTTAGGTTGAAATCACCAAGCAGTGATATGTCTGTGAATGTAGAACCAAGGTTGGTTGAGGGTCGGCAAGGGAGCAAAAGTGGTGGAATGATGAGGTGGTGAAAGGATGTTAAAAGAGAGAAAAGTTAGCTTATAAAGAGCTTTTAACAATACAGAAATTATACAAGACACCTTACAAAAATAAAGGACGTGAAGTTCTAAAGAAGAGCAGATGAAAGAATGAGGCATTGTTAACAAATGCAATTGAGAATAAAGCAAAAACCAGTTTTGGAGAGACATAAATAAAGTAAGAAAACTTAGTAAGCAAATGAATTTGTCAATTAAGAGTGAAAGTGACAAGTGACTACATGAGGAGTTGGTCAAATGAAATTGCTGGCTCACAGATAGCTCCAACTTTATCTTGTTCCCTACTTGTATATCTCATAACAATAAAATAATTTTTAAATGAGCTGATGTAGGTAACAGCTCTTAGCTTCTAAATAAAGTAAGGAATCCTTAACCTAACCTTGTAAAACACTATAAAAAATTAGCTTGAGAAACTGTTAAATGTACACGATGAAATGGAGGTCGAGACTTCACGTTTAAGATGAGAATAGTTGAGTCCTATAAGAATTAATGAAGAAGAAGAATGAAACAGTAAGAGGATTAAAAGTAAGATCAGCAGTAGAGAGAAATGGATTTAAAGATAAAATGGCAAAAGCAAGTGAAGATAAAGTACTGGAAAGGACGTTGTATATGTTCAATGCACATGAAATGAGAGATTATATTTAAGAAGTGGCATAAAGCATGTATGGTTCCTTTGTACAAGAGAGAAACTGTGTAAAGCAATTATAAGAAACTTCTTCTGTTGAGTATGACAGTTAAAGTGTAGGACAGAAAATGTAATTGATATCTTGGCTGGTAATGCAGAAAATAAGTTGTAGAAGATCATAAATAAAAGAAAAGAACTGTTTGTTGCATTTATGGATCGGTGAGCAACTTTGCAGTTGTTGCAAAGGAATGGAATATGCATGAGGATATATGACATTACAAGGTTTAAACTTAAAGTAATGAATACAGTACTAAGATTAGGGAGATGTCATTGTTAAGTACCGTAATGAATTTAATATATAAGAAGAGTTGACGCAGTTGTTTGCGGATTATACTGATGGAAGAGTTTGGACAGATGTGTAAAAAAATGAAAGTAATTTCAAAGAAACGTAAAATGATGAATGAATAGAAATATAGGAAAAGAAAGATTGGAGTTTAGATTAGAAGGACTCAATATAAACAGGAAGTGAACTTATTTAATTGTAGATAAATTTATCAGCAGATGGATCTCTGAAGGATGAGGGAAATCAGGATAGATGAAAAATTTGCGGTAGTGCTAAGGAAACAGTGGAAAGAAATAAGTCAATAAATGGACGCAAAGGGAATGTATCAGAATATACTGATGTTGACGCTGTTGTATAGGTGTGTATTGATATGTGTATGTTGCAGCAGGGAGTCTGCAGGCAAGGGAAATGATTTGTATGAGATCAGTGTGTAATGTAAATATTATAAACTGAATACATACACATCCAGAGGGTCATCTGAATTGTGATACACAAATAACCCGCACATAGAACAGAGGAGCTTACGACGATGTTTCGGTCCGACTCGGACCATTTACAAAGTCACACTAACGAAAAGGAGAGGAGGGAGTATATAGGCCAGGAGGTGGTAATGGTGGCAGTGGAGGTAGAAGGTAGTGGTGGAGAAGGTAGTATGGTGGATTGTAATAAAGTTCGTAGAATTACCGACAATATGTAAAGTAAAAGGACACAAGTGCAACTAATGTGACATTTTATTGTGGCAACGTTTCGCTCTCCAGGAGCTTTATCAAGCCATTACAAACAATACATGTATATGTATGTGTAATGTTCGCCAAGACCGTAGTCCTGGCACGGGTCTCAATCTTGCGATGACCCGTCTCTGGCTCCCGAGGGAGAAAGGTTTCTACAATGATGCGACATATGCTGTTCAAGCACTCTTCTGGTCAGTTCAACTGGTGCATCTCATAAGCGACAACACCGTATGTACTCCTAACTATGGACACTAGCTATTCCAGTCAAGATACCAAGACCAAAAGAGGCATCATCATCGGGTTTTTCCTAAGAGCATACCGAATTTGTAGTCCTGAGTTTCTTGACGAGGAATGTACGTACATTCACCATACCTTCACTGAGTTACATTTTCCTTCCTTTTTCATCAAAGACTGCAAGAAAAGGGCTCTTCAGATCATCAATTCTCCACACACCAACACCACTCCCAACAAAGTTATAATTCTTCCCAGCAGTCAGGTTGCACTGAACGTTTCTAAAGTACTTTCACAAGCTAACACCAGAGTCGCCATCGCTTCTAGCACTTCAATAAAGGATCTAACCAGAACAAAATCAAAGCACCACGAACCAGTCAACGCAGGAGTTTACACTATACCCTGTGGAGGCTGTGACAAGATTTACGTAGGTGAAACAGCAAGAAACCTCGACACCCGCCTCAATGAACACATTTACGCATGTAGGAACGACAACCTGAACAACGCCTGTGTACAACACCAAAATTCCACCAGTCATCTCATGAAATTCAGGGACGCCCAATTAGTGATCAAAGAAACTAATTTCCCCAGACGCAAGTGCCTAGAATCAGCACTGATCGCTGTTTCGAATACAATTAAACAAAACAACGGCAGCTTCACCATCTCTGAAGTCTTAGCAAGAATCCTCCTGAAAACAGTAAACCCTGCCATCACATAGTCTCTTCTGTTATACTACACAAAGCACATTACAGAGAGTGAACATTGAAACAGGCTGCCTCTGTCCAGTCTATATTTGTCCAACCTATTTTTATGTTACCCAAGTAATAGCTTTTATATCCTTTTACTCATGTACGAATTAATTGTTCTACCATATTGTATTACTACTACTACTACTACAACTTTTATCACTACTACTACTACCACTACCACTAGTATCGCACCTTACTCTGAGCCTATATATACCCTCTGTGTCCATGTATTGTTTGTAATGGCTTGATAAAGCTCCTGGAGAGCGAAACGCTGCCACAATAAAATGTCACATTAGTTACACTTGTGTCCTTTTACTTTACAGTATGGTGGAGGTGGAGCCAGTCAAATACTAAGAAAGAGGAGCACTGCAAGGGAGCTAGGGGCCACAGAGGGTAGGAGCAAGAACACAGAGGGATGGGGGGGAATATAATTAATGAAGGCATTTGTTCCTTCATTATTTATATTTTTCGCCTCTGCGTTTTTGCTCCTTCCCTCTGTAGGCCCCTAGCCTGGTGGCCTGGTAGCCTGGTGGCTAAAGCTCCCGCTTCACACACGGAGGGCCCGGGTTCGATTCCCGGCGGGTGGAAACATTTCGACACCTTTCCTTACACCTGTTGTCCTGTTCACCTAGCAGCAAATAGGTACCTGGGTGTTAGTCGACTGGTGTGGGTCGCATCCTGGGGGACAAGATTAAGGACCCCAATGGAAATAAGTTAGACAGTCCTCGATGACGCACTGACTTTCTTGGGTTATCCTGGGTGGCTAACCCTCCGGGGTTAAAAATCCGAACGAAATCTTATCTTATCTTAGCTCCCTTGCAGTGCTCCTCTGTAAATGGTCAGACCGAAACGTCGTCGTAAGCTCCTCTCTTCTTTGTGCTGGTTATTTGTGTACCGTTCCAGTCACGATATTGTCCCTTTTTTTTTTTTGTTATTTGCTGAATTGTGATGTCTGCACACTTCTGGCAAGGCAGAAGAAGTGGAGAGGTAAATTCGAGGTGATCAGTCCCCTCAGCCTGTAAGAGGCGCTTGAATTTCCCTGACGTCCCCCTAAGCAAGTGAAACCTCTGAAGAAGAAACATAACCGTTGTACATGTGTCTTACTCGTCTACCTATCTGTACTGTATATCATTAATATAGTGATAATGACTCATATTGTTGTAAATTTCTTAGCAAGAGAGATGATTTACAGTTGAGTTACACATAACTATATTGCTTGCAGGTGCTGAGGTGACTATAAGTCACAATAACACACTGCCACTTGCTAATGTGGTGGCACTGCTGAGGGATCACCTCAACACTCCTGCCATCCAACATGTAACAGGATATGTAACAAAAATGCATGATGGACATTTTCACGTTTATTTCACAGCTGTTAATGAAAAAGGGAACTATAAGATAGCATCAGAAGCCTTCATAATTAAATTTAATCAAGGTTAGTTGACAGAACACTTTTTTAGCAAATATATATTAAGCTCTCTTCACTTCAGACAATAAGGATTATCCATTGTTTCACAGAATATTCGTGCAAACATTGTTAACGATTTACAGCATATTTTCATACTTAAGAAATAAACACACTTATTTTCCATTAGGGCAGTGAATAGTAAATTGATAAATAGGAACAGCATGAAGAGCCATTGTACCTTCATATAAAGTTATTGGAAACAAATATTTTAGTAAACTAACACAAGGTACAAACACAAGCAATGTATAGTGTATATGCATACAATATATATATAATGAGGTGTATATGACTGTGCATACACTGAGAGTTGTATCTATGTACTGTATATATACTGAGGTGCTTATGACTGTATATTGCAGTTTTAATTACCCACTTGTAGTAAATACGCTTGAAACAAATACAGTACATTCATCATACTAATCATACACCTTTTATGATGTAAATGCGAAGGGGGATGTTTAAGTGGTTCCCAATTTTGTTCTTCCTTTAACTTTTAATTATTTCGCTCATATGTATGTGTATATATGTTAAATGAATGTATGCATACCTATGCATGTGTATTCATACGTACAGTATGACCCCTGAGGGTGTAGAGCTTTCCTAAAATTCAAATATAATCGTAAGGGCATCAGTCTTTAACGGACGATCCATCGTATACGGCTGAAACTTTTCCTGGACACAGTTTATGTAGGTGTGAAGGTTGTTGGCTTCTGTGTAATGTCTGGAAAATGCATCTTCCTCAAAGGAAGCTTACACTTGATGTCAGTTTATGTAAATTTTAGTATGCCAATTTTATTAATTAAATTGGTTTCTGTGAAATAACTGGTGTCTCTTCTGATCAAAAATAAGTCAATGTTTGGCTTTATTGGGTTATTCTAGGTTAAATCTGCACGATGTACTTTTATGTGCCTATAACACCTGTGTACCCTCAGGATCATTGTAAAGAATTTGTATATTATTTACACAAAGCTTAAATGAAACTTAATTACATGCATACTTAAACCTTAAATACTATTCAATCCAACACAAAATTTGGATTGATTTTAGGCTGTGCTGGTCCCATTTTTTGGAAAAGATTGCGAAAATTGAAATACTGATTTTCATATGATAATTTCTGTCGCATCTGAGCTTCACTCTTCAAGCGCTGATAACTTGTTACTGTGTCTTCTGATGGTGCAACATTACCCCATTATAAAAGGCAGAAGTACCGTTTACCTGGAGAGGGTTTCGGGGTCAACGCTCCCCGCGGCCCGGTCTGAGACCAGGTCTCATGGTGGATCAGGGTCTCACCAACCAGGGTGTTACTGCTGGCCGCACGCAAGCTGACGTACGAACTACAGCCCGGTTGGTTAGGTACTGACTTTAGGTGCTTGTCCAGTGTCTTATTGACAGCCAGGGGTCTATTGGTAATCCCCCTTATGTATGCTGAGAGGCAATTGAACAGTCTTGGGCCCCGGACACTCATTGTGTTGTCTCTCAGTGTACTCGTGGTTCCCCTGCTTTTCACTGGGGGAATGTTACATCTCCTGCCGAGTCTTTTCCACTAAAAGAAAACACAAAAAGTGTCAGGAGCCCAAGACTGCTCAGCAGCTTAACATAATACATAAGAGGGGCTACCAATAGACCCCTGGCCATCTTCAAGAGATAACTGGACAGATACCTAAAGTCAGTATCTGACCAGCCGGGCAGTGGTTAGTGCGTTCAGAAGCATGCAGCCAGCAGTAACAGCCTGGTCATGGACCGGGCCACTGGGTTATTGACCCCAGGAACACCCTCCAGGTAGGTACAATATAGGTCAAGATTCAAATAATATTGTATATAAAGTAGATATGATATAGGACAGGAAAGACAATCTAAATTATCTCGAATTGATTTCATTATATTTTACAGAGCTGAATGTAGGTGGGACACATGAATTATTAATAACCAACTCAGGGATCATCACCCCCAGTATAAGTAAGAAGTTAGCAACAAACAGTGTTGCTGTTACCCTCACGGTCCTTGCTGTGTGTGCCGTTGTCGCCCTTACTCTCTACCACTTCAAGAAGCGCAGGTAATGTCAAGCAAAAAAAAAAAAAATACATATTTTTCGTAAGATGTAACAGTGTCTTCCTACTTTAATATGACGGATTTACCAATAATTTATTACTGGTGCTCTTCATTACAGGTTCTAGTTTTTTTTCCTCTACCAAGGACTCAAACATATTTTTTTTTATACTGTACAAGGTACAATCAAAAAGTTCCCATACTCGAATTTTTTGCGCACTTCCTGGGTGAAATATGGTGGTACTATAGATCACGCTACACATTACACTCCTTTATCAAGTAGCATGGCAAGTTTCAGTGTGGATGGCCGTTGCCTTGAGGCTAGACAGGTATGTTTTTGTCGTGATGTTATTGCGTTACAATTTTTGAACAGAATGGAATCTTTAAAAGACAGAACAGCATGTGTGTGTGTGTGTGTGTGTGTGTGTGTGTGTGTGTGTGGTGTGTGTGTGTGTGTGATTTGTGTAGTGTGTGAATGTGAATCGTGTTCAGCAGTTGTGTGATGAAAATGTGTGAGATATTACTGGTTTTAATGTTTCTCGATTATAAACGAATAGGAAACTCACAGATGCTAACAGCAAGCATGGGTGATGAAGCAATGGGTCGGCATAAAAACATGTTTTGAATGGTTTGCTCGATTCATAAATTGTGAATCAGAACTAAGTGCTCAACCCACTAGGGTCATCAGATTGGATGAAATTTGAACGACCTCTGTGTCCCCATCGTAAAAACAAGATTTTTAAAAAATGAGGAAGCTGTCACGCAACATCGTCGTCCCGAGTAATCAGGACACCTGCAAGTGCTGTGGGATTTCTTTGGTTATGCCAAAGTATTTTGGCCTGAAAATTTGCACATGACGCGAATGCTATAAATTTGTGCCCGCAACATGCTGAGTCAGAGATCCAGAGGAAGACATTTTCTGCCAAAAGCAACATGTATCGCCTAAACCATCATCATACCAAAGTGCAAGTGTATAGTTAGCCCCCCCCACATGTGAGCTTCTTCTGTTCCCAATAATTAAAACTGGCAATGAGAGATTTCAAACCGTAATCACAAACCGCGCATAACTATTATATGTGTAAGATCCAGAGATGTTTTAATTGGCAGATTATTTATTAATTATAAATTTTCATTTAAGTGCTTAAAACATCAGGATATACAAAAATAAAGTGGCACGAAAGGTGCTGGGAATCATGTATAAGCCTTTTCCAAGGAGAGTACTTCCTACAATATATATATTATAATTTGATTACAATATAATTTAAAATAAAAAATATATGATATATATTATTCGTGCCGTTCAATGTAAACTGGCAATTAGCAAGAACTCATTTTAAAATAAGTCCTATCAAAAATTTTCTCTTATAAGTTTAAAGATATATTTTTTTCATTAATGTTGATGTAAAAATTTATAATTTTGCACCAAAAGGAACTTAGAAAACTTACCTAACCTTATTATAACAAGCGCAATTTATTTTAGCCTAACCCAACTAAATATATTTTAGATTTGTTTACAATAATTTAATACTAAACAAACACAGTGAAATATATTTTTTTCGTTAGCTTCAGAATGATTTTGGCGAAATTATTGCACACACAAATTTTCACTTGTCCTATATGGCAAGATGAGCGTTGCTATTTAAGCCAAGATCGCAAGTTCTGCCTATTCGGCACGACATATATATATATACAGTGGACCCTCGACTAATGCTATTAATCCGTTCCTGAGAGCTCATCGTTAGTCAAAATAATCGTTAGCCAAGTTAATTTTCCCCATAAGAAATAATGGAAATCAAACTAATCCGTGCAAGACACCCAAAAGTATTGAAAAAAAAATTTAACACATGAAATACTAATTTTAATACACACAAACTGAAGAAGACATGCACAGTTACATGACACTTACCTTTATTGAAGATCTGGTGATGATTGATTGGATGGGAAGAGGGGAGTGTGTTGATGGTCTTAGTGTTTAGAAGGGGAATCCCCTTCCATTAGGACTTGAGGTGGCAAGTCCTTTTTCGGGGTTACTTCCCTTCTTTTAATGCCACTAGGACCAGCTTGAGAGTCACTGGACCTCTGTCGCACAACATATCTGCCCATAGAGGCCTGTACCTCCCGTTCCTTTATGACATTCCTAACGTGTTTCACAACATTGTCAGTGTCACCATTAAACACTTGTTCAGGTTTCAGTCCTTCACTGTCTATGTACTCCTTGAATTGATGCACATATTTTTCAGCTGCTTTTTCGTCCAAACTGGCAGCCTCACCATGCCTTATCACACTATGTATGCCACTACGATTCTTAAATCTCTCAAACCAACCTTTGCTGGCCTTAAATTCACTCACATCACCACTAGTTGCTGGCATTTTTCTAATTAAATCGTCATGCAACTTCCTAGCCTTTTCACATATGATCGCTTGAGAGATGCTATCTCCTGCTATCTGTTTTTCGTTTATCCATACCAATAACAGTCTCTCAACATCTTCTATCACTTGCGATCTCAGTTTCGAAAACATAGTTGCACCTTTGGCAAGAACAGCTTCCTTGATTGCCGTTTTCTTGGCCACAATAGTAGCGATGGTTCATTGGGGTTTTGTGTACAGCCTGGCCAGCTCGGAGACATGCGCTCCACTTTCATACTTAGCAATGATGTCTTTCTTCATATCCATAGTAATTCTCACCCTTTTTGCTGTAGGGTTGGCACTAGAAGCTTTCTTGGGGCCCATGGTGACTTATTTTGCAGGTGCAATCACTAAAAAGGCTGTGATAATATGAAATGTTCCGATTGTATGCTTGGAAGCGACCGCGGTGGCTGGCTGGCTTGTAAACACTGGCCAGAAGTGGACGCGTCTCAGACGGAAGGAATAGTGTTGGTCGAGTTTTTTAGCGCTAATCCAGGCAAAATTTTTGCGATAAAATGTATCGCTAGTCAGATTTATCGTTAATCGATGCCATCGCTGGTCGAGGGTCCACTGTATATATATATATATACTATATATATATATATATATATATTATATATATATATATATATATATATATATATATATATATATATATATATATATATATTATATATATATATATAATGTCGTGCCGAATAGGCAGAACTTGCGATCTTGGCTTAAATAGCAACGCTCATCTTGCCATATAGGACAAGTGAAAATTTGTGTATGCAATAATTTCGTCAAAATCATTCTGAACCTAACGAAAAAAATATATTTCATTGTGTTTGCTTAGTACTAAATTATTGTAAACGTATTTAAAATATATTTAGTTGGGTTAGGCTAAAATAAATTGCTCTTGTTATATAGGTTAGGTAAGTTTTCTAAGATTCTTTTGGTGCAAAATTATAAATTTTTACATTAACATTAATGAAAAAACGCATAATATAAAATTTTAGAAAGAACTTAATTTTAAATGAGTTCTTGCTATTTGACCAGTTTTACATGTTCGGCACGACATATATATAATATATATATATATATATATATATATATATATATATATATATAATATATATATATATATATATAGGTAGTAGGTAGTAGGTTGGTAGACAGCAACCACCCAGGGAAGTACTACCGTCCTGCCAGATGACTGTGAAACAGAAACCTGTAACTGTTTTGCATGATGGTAGGATTGCTGGTTTCTTTTTCTGTCTCATAAACACGCTAGATAACAGGGATATCTTGCTACTCCTACTTACACTTTGGTCACACTTCACAGACACGCACATGCATATATATATATATATACATACATCTAGGTTTTTCTCCTTTTACTAAATAGCTCTTGTTCTTCTTTATTTCTTCTATTGTCCATGGGGAAGTGGAAAAGAATCTTTCCTCCGTAAGCTATGCGTCTCGTATGAGGCGACTAAAATGCCGGGAGCAATGGGCTAGTAACCCCTTCTCCTGTAGACATTTACTAAAAAAGAGAAGAAGAAAAACTTTATAAAACTGGGATGCTTGAATGTGCGTGGATGTAGTGCGGATGACAAGAAACAGATGATTGCTGATGTTATGAATGAAAAGAAGTTGGATGTCTTGGCCCTAAGCAAAACAAAGCTGAAGGGAGTAGGGGAGTTTCGGTGGGGGAAAATAAATGGGATTAAATCTGGAGTATCTGAGAGAGTTAGAGCAAAGGAAGGGGTAGCAGTAATGTTGAATGATCAGTTATGGAAGGAGAAAAGAGAATATGTATGTGTAAATTCCAGAATTATGTGGATTAAAGTAGAGGTTGGATGCGAGAAGTGGGTCATAATAAGCGTGTATGCACCTGGAGAAGAGAGGAATGCAGAGGAGAGATAGAAATTTTGGGAGATGTTAAGTGAATGTATAGGAGCCTTTGAACCAAGTGAGAGAGTAATTGTGGTAGGGGACCTGAATGCTAAAGTAGGAGAAACTTTTAGAGAGGGTGTGGTAGGTAAGTTTGGGGTGCCAGGTGTAAATGATAATGGGAGCCCTTTGATTGAACTTTGTATAGAAAGGGGTTTAGTTATAGGTAATACATATTTTAAGAAAAAGAGGATAAATAAGTATACAAGATATGATGTAGGGCGAAATGACAGTAGTTTGTTGGATTATGTATTGGTGGATAAAAGACTGTTGAGTAGACTTCAGGATGTACATGTTTATAGAGGGGCCACAGATATATCAGATCACTTTCTAGTTGTAGCTACACTGAGAGTAAAAGGTAGATGGGATACAAGGAGAATAGAAGCATCAGGGAAGAGAGAGGTGAAGGTTTATAAACTAAAAGAGGAGGCAGTTAGGGTAAGATATAAACAGCTATTGGAGGATAGATGGGCTAATGAGAGCATAGGTAATGGGGTCGAAGAGGTACGGGTAGGTTTAAAAATGTAGTGTTAGAGTGTTCAGCAGAAGTTTGTGGTTACAGGAAAGTGGGTGCGGGAGGGAAGAGGAGCGATTGGTAGAATGATGATGTAAAGAGAGTAGTAAGGGAGAAAAAGTTAGCATATGAGAAGTTTTTACAAAGTA